AACCCATAGAAATCTACAGGGTGGTCGAGTGTACCAATTTAATCGAAATTAAACGACCTCAAGCATTTATTTTTATGATATTCAGTATGTTATAAAAATATCCCTAGACTTTTCTGATGTGTGTATATATTTTGTGAGAAAAATGGAAAATTGTCTTATTTTTTTAACACCCCTCGTATCTCATTATATATTCATTGGAAAACTAAGTTACTACAGTTGAGATTGTTGGTGATTTAACTCATTTCATCAATGAATTATTCGTGCAGGGAATTTTTCAACAGATGAACTCAAGGTAGCTCTAGTAAAACCGCTTCACAAACAAGGCAGCAAATCACAAATATCCAACTTTATGCCATTAAGCCCACCAACAGATTCATGAAAGATCTTTGGGAATGTAATAGCTGAACATTTGACTTAATTTTTTATAAACTTCAATCTATTCTCCAACCAACAGTATGGCTATTTAAAAAAACAAATCCATTGATCCATCTGTGAAGTTCAGCCTTATTTAGAATTCCATTCTCCTCTTGTCACAATGAACGTTAATCAAATAAGCTGTAAATTTGTTTAAGTAAATCGTAACTAGTTTTCAGCGGGGCCGGGAAGATATTCCCTGACTGATATCAAGAAAGGCGACAACAATTCGCAAAGAGTGGAAATAATTGTAAAATATCCATGGGGTTCTGAATCTCTTGAAACTATTACTCTAGGCAGTCATGACAGGAAACTTACTAATGCCCAACTAGAGGTAAGTCAGATAACTATTCATTCAGACAAATCAAATTTATAGACGCCATTTTCAATTTTATTGTAACAAAATCTATGAAAAGCACAAACTAATAAACCTGTTTTCATAACAGAGCAATTATCAAATAATTAATAAAAGTACGATTTTTTTATGATATTCACTGATTTCCTGAATTTCATATAGTTCCAGGAGAACAAAAAAACCATTCACGCTCACGCCATTGTCAGTCAGATAAATCTAACATCGATGTTCATGAATTCCATCTGCGACGCTTTCGATGAAACCCTTGTAGTGAATAAAGCTAGGAAGTTATTGAGGCTACACAAAAAATTGGCACCTTTCAAGATTAGTTTGGCTGTTAGTGGGGCAGGTGAGTGAAATTACGTTCTGGAAACTACGGTCACTACTACCAGTTCAGTGGTGGTACCATTCCTCCTTTTGCGCTTGTATGTATCTATTGAACTGGTCTTCCAAACATATATCCATATGTGAGTCATAACTGTTGTATTGTGAGACTTTTCCTTACGTACTGTATGTATGTTTTTATATATTTTCAATATGACGTACCTAAGCAAATTTTGTTATTGCGGATATTTTTGAGTGTAACAGAAATTGTAATTTGAGGTCAATAAAATTTCTTTCTTTCTTAGAAAACTATAGTCTATTTCCTTAGGCAACAGAGTAATAAATCATAAATAAGTTTCACAGGCATACATAATTGTGTTTGGAAAAAAGTAACATTTAAAGTATTCAATGTTTTATAATTTGACATAACAAATTTCAAAAAGACTTTATAGTTGTATGTATAATGTGAGTAATGAAAATATAAACCCACATTATTAATTAATAGATTTTATTTTCACTTTTATTTGTAACTATCGTTACTGCAGTTTCGTCCTATAAGGACATTTTCAAACTTATACATTGAACTCGTTGTAACGTTAGTTACAAATTAAAGTTGTAAAATACATAGAAAGTTTCATTTTTACACGCTTTACATTAGCTTCACCTGTATGTATGTATGTTTGTAACTCTCAAGCTCTGGATCTGTATTAACAGAATTATCGGCATTATTGCTTGATCTATTCGCGGGCAGATGGCGCTGTACATAACCTCATTGATATTTCTTGATCTATTCGCGGGCAGATGGCGTTGTACGTAACTATCAATTATTGCTTGAGCTATTCGCGGGCAGATGACGCTATACATAACTATCAACATTGTATACAGAAAAGTTATTATGTTGTTTGAGAGGAATTTTACATTCGTGCGCCGTCTGTTAAAGACATGATGACATTAAAACGGACGAAACTTTTGAAATATCCTAATAGTTTCAATAAGTATTTTTTATTGAATACCCCAACGCATGCCACTGTAGGTAGAAAACGACCCTACAGTCTATAAAATATTTTGTTCGCAACCTATATGCGATAAAAAAGTAGATTGGCCCCGGTAAAGTATTATAAACCCCCTCATACAATCTGTGGCAAATCACAATGAAATCACAAAATTATGTATGGGCGACCCTGTTAGCGTTTTGCATTCATTACTTTTTACTATCAGGAAACTAGAGTATAGCAACAAATTGTCCATTACTTTAATATGATATAAACTGTTTCCCAGTAATATATCACAGCACTGTCTCAAGTCTCCTTCGTTTATCATTTTCCCGATTTTGTATAACGAAGAATCAACAGTGACGGTATCAAATATATTTCCAGATCAGTCTTCCACGGCTGAACTTTCCGATCTCGCAGTATATATCTGCAGACAACTAAGAACCAACCATGTGTCTACTTTACTGTTGCCGAGTTCAAATCAACTGAAATTGGATGCTCAGTTCAAACAGTACGACGAACTTGGCGTGCCTTACACCATTCTACTGAGCGACAGCACTCTTAAAGATGGGATAGTTTTTTTGAGGAACAGGGAAACCACCCTCAAGGTAAAATAAATTTGTATTATTAATTACTCAATTTCAATTAATAAAAAATTCTGATTTCTATCATTTCAAATAAAGTTTTTCTTCTTCTAAAAGCGTGGTTAGTTCTGAAGGAGTCTGCATTTTGAGGCAAAACTATCAAACTCTTTTATAGTAATAGAGGCCTACACAATATTCTTAGTGAATTTAATAGATTATTAACTATTCCAATATTAAAAAGCAGTTTTAGTTGATTATCTAAAGCATGTATTCTTTGTACTTCTGCATCTGCTTGCCATCGAGTAAAAATATTGAATTTTTTATTTTCAGGAACAAGTACATGTGAGCCAATTAGTGACTTATATAGACCAGTTATTGAAGAACTACTGAAGCATATTCATTTTCAATAAATATTTTGTTTATGATTTGATATTTCAATATAAATATTTTCATGTCGTTAATCCCACTCCTGATTTTTCAGTAAAAAAAAAATCCCACTCCTGAACTTTTTTGATGATCAAAACCCTTTTATTGGATAGAAGTCTCAAAATATCTGAGATTCAAGTCTATATGCCCTAAAATGGTGATGATAGTGAAAAGGGCGAATTTACTGATATATTGACGTTAGAACATGAATATAAATACTGAAAAACATATGCTCCGAGGATAGAACTCCGAAAAACGCCACAAACAATGAACTCGTGTTAAAAGCGAATACTTTTCAATGACATACGAGGTCTGTTCAAAAAAACAAGGTGAATTTTAATTTTTCTCAAAAAATATTGTTTATTCATCAATATCTACTATGTCCTTTTCAAAATAGTCCCCCTCAGATATAATACATTCATGTCAGCGTTCTTTCCAATCCTTGAAGCAGTTCCTATCTTACCTTGAATAGTTTTTCATACTTCATTCTTTGGATTCCACTTCTGACACCTTTCAAAGGTTCTGAACTTATCAGTTCTAGATTTTGCACAGTAAAAAACATTTATACCTCTCATGTTTGTATTTTTTTTGTTAAAGTACAAAATATAAAAATAGGCAAATGTATTCAGATCGTTATTATAGGAGCCGACGACCTATAACGAGAAATTTCATATGCTTCTAAAATGAGTATCAGCACATAAAATGTGTTCAATTACAATAATTTTCAGACTCCCTGTATCTCGTCAAAGGAGAATTTCAGGATACCTTTCAAATGCTGCTATAAATATTCAACTAGTCATCTAATTCAAAACTTTAATGAGCAGAGTGTTTCGAAACTGATTATTTACTAGATATCAACCTATTGGCCCATGTATGCGGAAATCTTTATATGTCGAAATCTGTTCGAGCGCCAAATTTTTCTCATTACACAAGTGGAGGAGAGCCACGAATGCCAGCGGACAGGATAACTCCCGGCGTTCTTTGTCTGGGAGCAATTTCGGAAGATCCTTGTACATTTTCGAGAATGTGGTAGAGTGCACTTGCTTCTGTTGAGTCTGAAAAATGAAGAGACAGTTGATTGATAGTTCTGCAAAAACCCCAACCCCTTCGCATTATCCTCACCTCCTGATCAATTAGAGTAACGGTGGGGTTCGTCAAAAAGTGCCAAACAGCTGCTTTGAGCCTCTTCATGTCCATCTGTTTAGCTTTCATGGCATAAGCCACGTAAGACTTTGGCACCTAGAAAAAAAATGGAGAAACTGAACTTTCCAGATAAGAATTGAAAATTTACCATTTCTGGATTGTCGACCAAGTTATCAGCCAAGTTACATTGTTGTTCCCTGTTCACGTGTTCTTCCACTTCATTATCACTTCCTATATGGTCTTCCATGGGTCCGTCCATAGCCCCATTGTCATCCTGAAAAATTGTAATCCGCTATGCAGCTTTGAAATTTGGATGCATCAGAGTTCTCAAGTCATAAATTTCGAGAGTTATACTCACATCATCATGAGATTGCGCACAATACTGAGAATCGTTAGGGTTCTCATACTTGTACGGACTGACTTCATAATCCAGTTGTTCGTTTTCACTGCCAGTAGTGATTTTTTTCTCCAGAGGACAAACTCCCGGTTTGAGCATCAGTTCTTTGATGTTGGCTAACATTTTAGCGCAAGTCTGGTCCAAAAGAGGTAACGTGATTCTGAAACGATTAAAGGGCATTGAAAATCAGAAGGGGTAACAAAAAGATGGCGGCAGATTACCATTTCAGTTTTATTCAGTTCTCAATAAAGTTACAACTTCCGAACAAGTCGCAGAATTCAATTATAATAGGTATTATCGACATATTACAATAAGATATAGGGACTTCCGAACTTTGACCATTGATAACGACTATCTTGTTGAAGCTACGTATAAATTTGGTGTGCAGTAGGTCTTCATCGTTTTGTATATTGTAGGATATTCTTGTTTCAAAAATTTTAGATTTTGTTTTTCTTTCATCGAGTACAAGCTTGTTTAACAAGCACCAGGTTTTTGTTACTTATTCATCACCTATTCGAATACTTCAGGCAATCCAAATTGAGTGTGGAAGTATGTACTCTGAGCATATATAAGACTTATCAACAAGGGAAAGTGTCAAGGGTACGCTTTCTATAGTCCTCAGGTGGACCATCAAGCCCATATGACTCCCACATAACTCAAGGTCAAGTGCAGCCATTCAAGACCAAAAGTACTTGAGGCGAGGGGGTCAAATCGCATAAGGTCTAGTAATGCAATTCAAAACCATCTGAAAATCACCTTGTCAAGGTCGTGTGACGTGGTCCAAGGTCGTGTGACGTGGTCCAAGGTCGTTTCGAGGTCAAGTGGTGGGGGGAGGCGGTATAAGTCAACTACTTCCTCAAGAATCGCAGCCAGGTCCTCCTCTACATAAACACTGATATCAAATATGTCATCAGCATAGATAATTGTCTTCAAGTCATTTGTGTAAATTATAAAGAGGGGAGGGCTCAGTATCGATCCCTGAGGAACTGTTCTTTTTATTGATTGGGAAGTACTTGTCTAATCTTTAATTCAAACTACTTGAGAACGGTTGGACAGACAGGAGTGAATCAGTTTCAAGGCCATTATTCCATCGCACTTCATTTTTGTCAACAGGTCTCTCACTCTAATAAAAAAATTGTAATTATACCGATACTCACTTATTAAAATCGGCAGTCGGATGTTTCTTCTTGATGACCAACTTCTTGGACAGATCGATGTCGATCTCCTTTGTGAAGTCGATCATTTCCGGCTCGGCTTTCTTCCTAGCTTGCCTGTGCTCTTTGGTCGAGGTTATGCTCTTCTGCTGACCAGAGAATCTAGCTGTCGACCTCCTCAAAAATTTCAACTTCCAATGGCATGGCCCCGCCCATATCTGGTCGATGAACTTGCCCGTGTGGGTGTTGATGATTGAGTTGTATGAGTACTCGGATGTGTGACCTGTCTCGTTGGCGGAACGGAAGTCGACGATGCGAGCGATTTCGCCGTTTCTTAGTTGAGGGGCCCCCATCTCGTGGATCGACTGGATATCGTCGTCGTCGTTCAAGTCTGGGTCAACGACTGTAAATGTTTGGATACGTTAACGGGTTTATTAAAAAAAATGTTGACTAAAGCATACCGTCGGCATCATTGTTTTCGAAAATGTCGTGGATGGATCCGTCTAGCTCGGGAATCGGGATGCCGTCATCATCGAAAACTACTGGTTGCAGTTGGGTCTGGAATGATTTTTCTACGCCCAACCTATAAAAATTTCGAAATAATTAGCATAACACGACTTTGCAGTTTTTGAAATGTTTTATTAAAATCACAGCTATATCATCCCTTGTTACTCTTTGCTTGACTCTCAGGCCAACCAAAGAGAGAAGTTCTGGGTAATTGATTTGGCCTGACAATAATTTAAATAGAAATATTAGGTCAGTCTGAATCCGTCCGTTTTCCAATGTTGTTAGATTTAGTGTAGAAAGAATATCGGTGTAGTTATGTCATTGGTATATTTCAGGGGTCTCCAAACTACGGCCCGCGGGCCAAATCCGGCCCGCGACAGCCAATGATTTACTGTCATCAATCTGGCCCGCGACAGCCAATGATTACCTAAT